TGGGTCTCAAACCCGCGGGCTCAGGCAATTCACTCACCTCAGCCTCCCAAAGGCGCGGGATTATAGGCTGAGCCACCGAGCCCGGCACTGGGTAAAACATTTACTCTCTCTGAGTCTAAAGGGTTTATTTTCCCCCCTCACTTAGCAACAGAGTGAGACTCCAACTAAAAAAAAAAAACAACAACAAAAAAGCACATAAAATATTCACAAAATAGGCCAGGCTCGGTAGCTCAGCCTGTAATCCCAGCACTTTGGGAGGCCGAGACGAGTGGATTGCCTGAACCCACGCAGGTTCAAGACCAGCCTGGGCAACTTGACAAGACCTCATCTCTACAATAAATCAAAAATTAGCCAGGCATGGGAGCGTGTGCCTGCAGTTCTAGCTACTTGGAAGGCTGAGGCAGAAGGATCGCCGGAGTGCAGCAGATCAATGCTGGAGTGGGCATGAGCGTGCCACTGCACTCCAGCCTGGGTGACGGAGTAAGGCTGCAACTCAAAAAAAAAAAAATGCAGCCGGGCTCGGTGGCTCAGCCTGTAATCCCACGCCTTTGGGAGGCTGAGGTGAGTGGATTGCCTGAGCCCGTGGGTTCGAGACCTGCCTGGGCGGGGAGACCTTATCTCTACAATAAATCAAAAATAATCAGCCGGGCATGGTAGCGCATGCCTGTAATTCCGGCTACTTGGAAGGCTGAGGCGGAAGGATCGCCGGAGCCCAGCAGGCGAGGCTGCGGTGGCCGGGAGCGGCCACTGCACTCCAGTCTAGGCGACCGAGTGAGACTCCAACTCAAAAAAAAAATACATCAACAGATGTAAAAACAAGAACCATATGATTATCTTATTAGATGGAGAAAAAGCTTTTGATAAACTCCATCATCCCTTCTTGATAAAAACCCTCAAACACCTAGGTATAGAAGGGACATACCTCAATATAGTAAGTGCCATTTACGATAAACCCATAGCTAACATATCGCTAAATGGACAGAAACTGGAAACATTTCCCCTGAAAACTGGAACAAAGCAAGGCTGCCCACTCTTACCTCTCTTGTTCAACATTGTGTTGGAAGTCCTAGCTAGGGCAATTAGACAAGAGAAGGAAAGCAGGGGTATCCAAATAAGAAAAGAGGAAGTCAAGTTATCCCTCTTTGCTGATGACATAATTGTATACCTTGAAAATCCAAGAGAATCTGTCAAAAACCTGCTTACAGTGATAAAGGACTTTGGCAAAGTCTCAGAATACAAAATTAATGTGCAAAAGACAGTTGCATTCCTATACACCAACAGCAAGCAGGCAGAGACCCAATTAAGAAGCACAATCCCATTCACTATGGCCACACACAAAAAATGAAATATCTCAGCATCTTCCTAACCAGAGAAGTGAAAGACCTTAACAATGAGAACTGCAAAACACTGCTCAAAGAAATTCAAGAAGACACAAACAAATGGAAAAATATTCCATGCTCACAGATAGGAAGAATCAACATTGTTAAGATGTCCATCCTACCAAAGGCAATCTACAGATTCAACGCAATACCCATTAAATTACCAACATCATTCTTCTCAGACCTGGAAATGACAGTACAGAAATTCATATGGAAACATCCACAACCACAAAGAGCCAAAACAATCCTTAGCAAAAGAAACAAAGCAGGAGGTATCACACTCCCTGACTTCAGACTTTACTATAAGACTACAGTAATCAAAGCAGCCTGGTATTGGAACAAGAACACGCATATAGACCAACTGAACAGGATAGAGATTCCAGAAGCAAAACCTCAATTTCTCAACCAACTCATATTTGACAAAGCCTCCAACAACAACCACTAGGGAGAGGAGAAACTATTCAGTAAATGGTGCTGGAAAAACTGGCTAACCACATGCAGAAATTTGAAAGAGGATCCCTACCTATCACCATACACAATAATTAACTCTAAATGGATCAAAGACCTAAACATAAAACCTCAAACTATAAGAATCTTAGAAAATGCAAGCCGGGCTCAGTGGCTCAGCCTGTAATCCCGTGCCTTTGGGAGGCTGAGGTGAGTGGATTGCCTGAGCCCGCGGGTTCGTGACCCGCCTGGGCAACTTGGCAAACCTCATCTCTACATAAATCA